GCGTCGTCATCCAAGAAGATGGAGGCTCTTCTCCGCATGCATGTTTGCGACTCCAGCCGCTTTTTTGCCCTTTTGTCAGCGAAAGAGAACCCCTGTTGCAGCCGACTGAGGTCATCGAGAAAGGCTATTACGTTCTGTGTTATACGACGGCTTCTCTGTTCAGTGCGACATTCTCGATCTGCTTTCTGACAATATCGCGTTCTATTGCGTGTCTCAACTATCTCCACAGCCTTCGCACGAGCAATCCCGCCTACCCTTGTCGCATGGCGACTGGTCTTGAGATAACCTTGAATCATGGCTGATCCTGTTTCGCTGGTGGCTGCGGGTGTAGGAATTGCTGATGTTGCATTTCGACTTGTCAAGTATCTCAAAGATATCAAAGCAGCAGCTAAGACCATTGACGAGGGCATCGAAGGCTTAATCAATGAGGTCGAAGGTCTACAAAAGGTGCACGGTCACCTCGAGAAGGAGTATCTTAAGAGTGTCACCAACGTTGAGATGGGAGATGACGAAAGGAGCCTTTGGACCAGCACTGGACAGACTCTCAAAAATGGACAGAAGCTTACCGAGAAACTCGAGGCTTCGGTGAAGTCCATATACGGCGATCACAGGCTGGCGACTGGCAGGTTCGATAGCTTGGACAAGTCGCGGAGGAAGAAAAGCAAAGACAGCATGATTTCTGGACTTAGAGACCAGATCAACACATACCAGGGAGCCTTGCAAATGCTGCTCGGCTTTATTTCCATGCAAGTTGATCTGCTAATCGAGAAGCTACCACTGACTCATATGCAGGCAGTCTGCTCGTCAAAACCATGAGGATCAAAATGCTCAGTTGGAGCAGTTGGTTGCCGATCTTCAAGACCTGAAGAATCGAATGGAGCAAGCGCAGCACTCATCGCTACCTCCATACGAGACCGTAGTCAACACGACGGCGTATCGCGACTTCAACATAGAATCGGTGTCAGTTGTGAACCAGCTCGGTATTGCAATCAATAACATTGCGCACAATCCAACATCCGATGCCTCGATGACGAACGAACATTTTGATATTCCCAAGCCCGTTGATCCATTCTATACTGGTCGTGAGGACTATGCAGAACGCTTGCGAAGCTGGTTCTTACCGGCTCCTTCTCAGAAGCAACGGGGTGAAAATATCACAAAGGCAGAACAAAAGCGCTTCGTTGTATACGGGCTTGGAGGCGCAGGAAAGACGCAGTTCTGCTCCAAGTTTGCTCAAGATAACCGACAATAGTCAGTTGTTATATGGCACCAAGTTTATATACTGCTGCTGACAGGTTACCTCTAGCTTCTGGGGCGTCTTTTGGGTAGACGGCAGTAGCCCATCGCGGTTGAAACAGACCTTCTCCCAGAATGTATCAAAGATCGGAAAAGTGGACCTTAACGAGAACGCCGCGCTTCATTGGTTATCTAACCTCAGTTTTCCTTGGCTTCTTATCATCGACAACGCCGACGACCCCGACCTCAAGCTTGCCAACTATTTTCCACGAGGGAACCGAGGTCACGTTCTTGTCACAACCCGCGATCCTGGAAAAAAGGCTTACGGTACAGCTGGTGAAAAATATTTCGAGTTCCAAGGACTCAGTACGAGCGATGCAAGCAGTCTACTTCTGAAAGCAGCCGGCCAGTCAGAACCATGGGACACGGTCGTATCCAGCATCGCTTTATCCATTGCCAAAGCGCTTGGTTATCTTGCATTGGCTATCACGCATGCAGGTCGGGCTATCCGTGAAGAGTATTGCAGGCTTAGCGAATATCTACACTACTACGAGCGCCAATGGGAACGAACAAGGCAAAACAGACTTCCAGTGAAAGACAAAGACGCCGCTGACGAGCTGAGCGTCTTCTCGACGTTTGAACTGAATCGAGAGGCTATCGAGAAGCGAGGAACTAGAGCATCTCGGGACGCACTCCAGTTGCTTGACACATTCGCATTTCTCCACAACCAGGACATTCGATACGACCTACTGAAGCGAGCTGTCGAGAATGCCCAGGTCGAACACCAGAAGGAAGTTGAAGATAAGATCAATGAACGCCAGTCTAAGGATGCTAAGCCCACACGCGACTGGTCAACGTGGTGCAAAGAAACTGCTTTCCTGGTTCTTGCATATCTCTACCAGAACCGTAGTCCACCCGTCCTTCCACGTGTAGGTCATCCCATCATTCGTTCCTCTAAGATTTATTCTAACCCATCACAGATCATCCGAGATGGGCGACATACGAGGGATTTTGATGAAGATCGGCTGCGCATAGCTTTACGGCAGCTGATCCAGTTCTCACTTATAATCAAAAGCCAAAATGCTGACAGCTACTCTATGCACCCCCTTGTGCACAAGTGGGCCCGCGAGCGACCTGGCATGAGTGTTGCAGCGCAAGCAGTCTGGTCTGAAGCCGCAGCCATGCTACTATCACATTGTATTCTCATTCCGCCGCTTGGCAATACAGAAGAAGAGGAGGACGTTCGGAAATATATCCTGCCTCATGTCGATCATGTACGCCAATGTCAGCAATCTATAGAACAACGCATGAGAGACAAGCGCATGGCAAGAATGAATCCATTGCCAGTTTTTGAGGGTGGCTTCGATAGGGATAAGGCTATTACATATGCCAAGTTCAGCCTGGTGTACATGCAAAATGGACGGTGGGATGAGGCCAAGCGACTGCAAACTGCAGTCAAAGATTTCACGACTCAGATCCTGGGCCTGAAGCACCCTGTTACCCGTCGCGTTACCCATCTACTGGCCACGACCCTGTACAATCTCGGACAAAGTGAGGACTCGGCTAAGCTAGAAAAAGACGTTCTAGACGCATGTGCGCTATATCTGGGTACCGACCACCGAGAGACACTGGTTGCCAAATTCAATCTTGGAAAATCGGTTTTCTTACAAGGCAAATTTAGCCAGGCGAAGCTTCTTCAAGAAGAGGCGGTCGAGGGTCTGACTAGGCTGATTGGTCTCGACCAAGAAGACACCCTCGATGCGATTGACTGGCTTGGCCAGACCCTGCTCATGTTCTTCACCGAAGAGCATGTGAATCGAGCCCGTCAACTCTTTATCACAGCATCGGAAGGCATGAAGAAGGTGCACGGCGATGAACACACACGCACCCTCGAGGCGCGTGAGCACCTTTGTAGTTCTGCCACCAAGACGGGAAACAAGCAACACCTGGACGAAGCGCATGATATGATGATCAAGATTCTGGAAACTCGGAAGGAAAAACTTGGCAAGGAGCACGCATACACATTACTCGCGATGGTGAACCTCGCTCTTGTAAAATGCAAGATGGGCATGATTCATGAAGCTGAAGCACTCATCCAACATGGCCTACCTATCGCTGCACGCAATCTAGGCGAAGGTCACATAGCTTATCTCTGGGGTCGTTATCATCTTGGCCGAATTTGGGTGCTTCAAGAAAGATGGGCCGAGGCAGAGACATACCTGGTTGATGTTACTGAGCGACAGCGTTACACATTGCAAGGAAGAGGCGAGTTTCATCCTGATAGGATCGGCGGCCTGATAGAGCTAGCCACAGCCTACAACGCGCTCGGGAAAGTTGAAAGATGCGAGAGAGTGACAGAAGAAGCTTTGGCTGCGCTAGCAAAGATATCTACGACTGAGCATCCGGAGGCAAAAAAGTTGAAGGAGAACAGAGACATGTGGAGGCAACGGAGAAAAGATAGCATGGCAGTTCCACCGCGGATCGACAAACCACAAGGCATTGAGCAGCGCATCCAGATTGGACATATCCACCGGTCGTCGACATTGTAGTTATACAACTTCAGAACGATGACACACTGCAGATGTTTGAATCAACGATTACATGTCTAGATGCCTGAGTTCGAGAGGACGAAGCATCGAGGGGATTGGCAACGTTGCTGCCATTCACGATGTCTGAATGGGTGGTACCTAGCCGCCTTTACGACTTTCCAGACTCCATTTCCGCCTTCTGCCTCGCCTGTTCATGATCAAGACGCTGTTCCGAGTTGATCGACGAACAGTAAACTACTGCTTGGTGCGCATTGAAGCACATCGTGTCGTAGCCTGGATTGTCGGAAGATGTAAACGTGTTACCGGCTGCGAATCGAGAAGAGCTTTGATGCTGTATGCGCAAGTCTTGTCAGATCTTTCTTTAACAAGCGTGGTACACACCATATTCTATATCAGCATTCTCAAGGACCAGATATCCGCCTTTGCGCTGACAGGGTGGCGGCACAATGCCTCTCGAATGGTTGCTGGGTCCGAGAAGCCTATCTTACCCCAATCCGTACGTCTTTACAAGATGTTTGTCTCTTGTCTGATCGTTTTGACGGAGTCGCAGTCAGCAAGAAGAGGTTCCGGGTAGGCCCAATAGGGTAGCGGGGTCGTATCAAGAGACACGTTCTTCAACTCGGTGGCCCAGTGTTAGCCGCACGCGATGGGGAGAATTGTCTCTGAAACATCGTCAAGTACGTACAACATCCATTGCCTGTAGTAAGGCTTTCAAGACTATATCTATCGTTGTACTTATCGCATGAGCAATTTGGTGAAGCTAAAGGGCGGTCGCGCTAACGAGGTATCCGCCGACTAAAAAAAGACACATCGTACTTGAGCCGAGACCGAGACCGAGAAGCTTCGCACCAGAATTCAAGCTTGCGACTCAGTAGCCTATTGGATGCATGCGCTTCAAAGCTGCTTATTATTGTCCGTTTCGCATATCTGATTTCGAGCGCATGCAGTAATTCATTAGACATTCGTCCGTACGCCTGTATTTAATTCGAGATGGCATGCCATTGTCGAGTTCATTGCAACCTTGCTGTTCAAGTCCTATCTTTCGTATACCATCTCGAAAGTAAAGAAGATGTCTTATGATACTAAAGACAAAGTCGCCGCACTTGCAGTGGAGAAGTACGAGTAACTTTTTCATCTATTTCGCAGTCATAGTTTGTATTTGCTAACCTTATCTATTTCTAGTCCAGAATTGTCAGCTGTAAGAATCTCGTCGGGATGCCAGTACGTTCCTTGACAACGAAGCAGTACAAGCAGAAACATAACATCGATGGGCTAGAGAACCTCAACAAATTTCTCTCTAAATTGCCACCTCCTGATCCCACGCTTGACCAGGGAGAAGTCGTTGATATCCCTCTCCGAGACGGCACACCCTCGCAGATTCGCATCTTTCGCCCTAAAGTCGCATCACAACAGCCTAGACCTCTAATTGTGCTGATATATGGCGGAGGGTATGTTCACTACCCTCTTTCTACTACGTCGGTTAGTCAATAACCACCACAACCAGGTTCATCCTAGGTGACAACACTCAGCTGAGCTCAGTATCTCGTGTCCTTGCAAACCTCTACTCTGCTGTAGCGGTCAATATTTCTTATCGCCTAGCACCAACCCATAAATTTCCCACAGCTGCCCGAGATGCTTACGATAGCGTTCGATGGCTCTCCCAAAATGCCAGCACGCTCGGCGCCGACCTCTCCAAAGGCTTCGTTCTACTAGGCGCTTCTGCAGGTGCCAATCTTGCAGCGGTCGTTGCTCAGAAGTGGTTTTCCAGTAAATCATCACCACCCATTACTGGCCTTTCTCTCGCTATACCATGGCTGCTGTCCGGGGAGATCGTGCCACAGGCCTACAAGCACCTCTGGTTCTCTAGGAATCAGAACGAGAACGCTATGATTCTGAACAAGGGTACGATAGATTACATGCTGGCTGCGTACGAGCCTGATGTGCATTCCGCGGACTTTTCGCCTTTTAATCACCCTGCACCTCATAGCGGTATGCCACCAGTTTACATCCAGGTGTGCGGTGCGGACCCGTTGAGGGACGACGGACTTATCTACGAACAAGTACTACGATATTTTGGAGTGAAGACGAAGCTAGATGTTTACCCCGGTGTTCCACATGGTTTTAGCGTTTTTCGGGAGATGGAGTTGGCGAAGAAGTCCTTCTCAGACCAGATCTTGGCGATTGGATGGCTTCTGGGTGTGGAGAAGACTAGGGAAGACGTGGAGCGGTTGAATTAGAGAATTCAGATGCGCCAATAGACCTAGTCAGCTACAGTTCTATCACGAAATGTAGACGCATCCTTGCCCAGCACCGTGTGGTCCATTCAAGGGCAGTAGCAGGAGATTCAAGCAGTGTCCCTTGACCTCTCATATCATCCTTTTGCAGAAAAACCTCAAAGCGCTATACACCTGCCAAGATCTTTAGATTCAGCCGTCCTCGCTGAATCTCGATTACCCATTGAAATCGAAATGGGTGTAGCTACCTTGATTAGAATGCAACTGCGCAATCTGGTATGACAATTCGGAATTAACAACACCTCTCACGTACCTGCTCGACTACCCAAGGCCCTCAAGATGATGGCAACCTCTTCGCTACATGCTCCTCCGCCATTCGGATGATCTCGCTCAATGCTACCATCACATGTCCTTCACTTTGCCCCTCAACTACTAGATCTTCTAGCACCTTGAGGTCTTGCTTGATAACCTTCCCTCCATGGTGAAACGCGTTGAAGATATGACAGTGCAACGGCAGAGCACTATCTATTGGGCCCACGATCATCTTTACTGTCGCCCAAGACCCTATCAGCCAAGACAACAGCCATCCCATCAATCCGAACCGCGACAGGGTCAGTATCTCGCGCTGTGCCTGGAGCATGAGATTCCACAGGCCCTTATTGTTTCGGAAGTGCTCAAACGGTTGGAAGCCATCTATACCCCAACTGATCAACTGTAGCGTACCCATTAGTGTACCGGACGACCCAACGAAACCTGGTACGGTCTGGATGCGGAGCTTCTCGTGCTTGCTATACACAGCGTTCCCAACGTAACGTAGTACGGCGGGGTACGGTACGTTGATACGACGTACGTAAGCCGTACGTAGGAGACCTCTCATTGGTCCGTATCGTATCCGTAGGGGGTGAAGTTTTGGGAGCCGTAGTACGGCGTACGGCTCGGAGTTATCGGGTTTTGGCTGGGGATCGCTGTGAAGCCGAAAAAACAGCGTAGGAGTCCTATACAGCTGATTTCTTAGTGTTGCGGTTGCTGTAGGCGTACCTGTATCCAAAAAGAAGCAAAAAGAGAGGTTTGTAACCTAATTCGAACAAAAAAAAAACACTACAGTGGTTCCAACTACACCCGAGAGAGGCTTATAAAGGAAGCCGGGACAAGTCCCTATTAGTAACCGCACTACGCTATTGTAGGTGTAGTTAACGGAGACGGCAAAGTCTCTATTCACAACAGCGTGTATATATACCTGCGCTACGGGGGTCCTTGTATGTTGCATGATGAGATATAGCTGGTTTACGCGGTATAGAACCTTGCTTTTGGCGTACGGCAGGCCCTCGATGAGGAAGTACAGCTATCGTGAGGTCTATCTAGCTTTCCGTGGTGTTGTGGGTTGACTGTAGCCCAATTAGCGGCTCCTCATCGCTCATCGTTGAGATATCGCGCAACAGAGGCAACAACAACACCACGGAAAGCTGGATAGACCTCACGATAGCTGTACAGGGTGTATCGGCTCGTGGATGGAAGCTGGAAACCTCGTGGGTATCGTGGGTATTGTGAGAAGTTTTGTTTTGGTGACTGAGTATTGCGGTGGCTGGGAGGTGGCTGGGATGATGGGCTTGTTGATATAGAGGCTTCTCGCCAGCTGTATATCGTCAGTATCATCAATTGAATATGTCTCAATCTCAACTCAGAAGCTGGGTACGGGGTACTCCTTCAACCCCGTCAGTCAACTCCTCCGCGTCAAACTATCCTGTATACCACCATGCTGCCTCTCGCCGTACAGCACCATCAGAATCGCCATCTCAATTACCTCCAGTAACCCCTACGCCGTTGGGTATATCCTCACAGGTTTCTGAGCTGAGTTTTGACGACAACGAGCCTGCGTTTGATGTTGATTTCAGCCACGTATACAAGCTTGGGCAACGCTTAGATCCACAGAGCTTATCGTACGCAGTAAAAAATAAAAGTCAACTCCTTGGCAAACGTACTGTATCCCGAATATGGCGTTATGGGGTACATCTCACGTACAAGGAAATAGACGGGAAGATAAAGCAGTACTGGCTTTGTAAGCGCTGCCACAATGAGCAATTAAAGGACCAAATCAAGACTGTTGACGGCTACAATCATATCATCAACCATATGAAGAAGGTCCACCGGATTGACGTCAATACAGGCCTTCTGCCTGAGGTTGTACAGGAAGATCTAAGATGGAGCTCCCCGTTTGACGCTGCGAGGGTTGCTGGTTCGAATCGACTTGTATCGCATACGCCGTGGCAAGAGGAGCAACTCCAAGCCGCTCTTATTGACTGGGTAATACTAAAAGATATTAGCTTTCTAGTTGCAACCTCACCTGAGCTACGAGGGTTGCTTACATGGAATCGAAGCGATCTCTTGAAGGCGCTGCCTACGTCAACCGCTACGATCGCTGAATACACGAGAGTAACCCTGGAGGAGCGGAGAGAGGAGATCAAGAAGCTCGTAACGACAGCGCGAAGCAAAATAAGTATAAGCGTCGACGTGTGGACGTCGAGTAACCACCTAAGCTTCCTTGGTGTTGTGGGTCATTTTGCGGGTGAGTCCTTGTC